CAATCGTTTTAAAATAAAATAATGTCTCAATTAGAGATACTGGAGATCATGGAGCACAGATGACTTGTATTTGCTCACTGAGACTGTCGTACAATATCACTCGCTCTCTCTCTCTCTCTCTCAAATTGTCTTTCGGATTATAACTTTAATAAAAAATCAATAAAACATTTTTTTCTCTCTCTCTCAGTGTGTGTGTTATTGCAATTGCGTTCCGCATTTTGCTTCGTATCCATTCTGTTGGTTTTTTCTATTAACGATAGCGTAGCACTTTTTGGGTAGAAAGGGAAAAGGGAAATGAAAAGCATAAGTACTCTCTGTCCCTGTTTCTCTTTCTCCGTCTCTCTGTGTGTGTCGCTACTGATACGCGATATATATATTATTCGTGCTTCTGTGATTTTCGAGCATATTTAAAATGCGTATTTAGCTTTCTGTTTATCCCACTTTATTCGCATTTTCTAAGTGGTTTTTTTTCGCTTCTCTCATTTCACCCATATTTTTCTTTTTTTTTCATTCTTCTTTCTCTTTTTGTGATAAACAAAAAAAAAGAAGAAGAAGTTATCAATTGGAATGTTATTACGTAGAAAATATTGATCTTATTTATCTTTGTAATTCAAAATGAAGCTACTTGTAGCGGTCGGATTCGTGTTGACGACACAGGTTTTCTCTTGCGAAAAAAGTTTTCTTCTATTTTGTTTCGCCCCTTTTGGTGGTGGCGGCTCCTTTTAATGGTTGCGACGGCGATGGATGTACGACGACAATAATGTACGAAAATTTAGTTAAAGGTTGAAAGAATGGGGCCGAGGTGTTCCATTTTTCACTTTTCATTAACCCACATTCCTTTTGACCGAGAAACAAGGGCCGACATTTGCTAAAAGTGCATCCGAAAATTATGTAAATGTATCAGCAGGCTACACTGCGCTAAATCGAACAAATTGAATCATTTATTCGATTTTCTTGCGCGGGAAAAAAAACCGACAATCTAATAATAAAAAGTGTAGTAATCTGATTTATTCGGTACTCTGATGTGTGAAATACACATCGATGACACACAATGCGATGAAATGAAATCAAAGCGAGTCTCTGATTCATCATAGGTATCGACCGAAAGTCAATATGAAACATATCATATTTGTTCCCTTTTTTTTCGTTACATTTCACTTTGATTTCGTGGTGCTTTCTTCTTAGTAAGAAGAGCAAGAAGTTCTTAACAAATCACTCAGAACAATTCTCGCTAGAAATCGCATACAGCGTCATCCCGCTATTATTTTATCCAGAAGGAATGGAATAGGGAAGAAATCAATGGTAGCGATGATGATGGCAACCTTTTGAATCAACTCCAGCAAATATTAAAGTGGTGGCAATCTCAATTTCGATTTTTCCTCTGATGATTTGTCGCACAATTACCATTATTACATAAATGATTGTGTGGTACAATATGCTCCTCCCGTGCACAATGATTTACTCTTTCTTTCATTTTTAATTTTCTCAAATTAATTTCCGTTCTTTTTTTTCGCCTTCGTTCACTCTCTTGACGGCAATTCAAGTGTTCTGAAGTTGTTTGTGTATTTTCTCACCCTTTCATATTTGTGCGTATTTTTATATGGCAGTACACAGGGGATAAAAATGACTGTTATTGAAGTGAAAGAGTGGGATAGAGTGAGAGAAAAGTTGAGAAAGAGAGTGAGTTTGTGGACGAAGAGTGTTTCATGATATGTGGTCGCAGAAAAGTAGGAAGACGTTTTGCGGTCCACTTTGAGACTGCCGATTCTTTTTTTCTGGCCCGATTCACTCTCTCACTCTCTCATTGTCATTCGTTGATAACGGCGATTCAATGAAAACCGACTCTCGCTCGGTGAACGTGAAATGCGGTCGCAGTGTGCATACTTCAATTAGTATAAAAGCGTTCTTGAAAAACGAGAAGAAGAAGAAATAAAAAACAACAACAACTCTGGGCAATCACCATAATAATGCAAAAGCCGAAATTAATCATTCGTATTGGGAATAGATGCGAACGCGTGGCGCTCAATTGTTTTCCTTTTGTACGCGTACACTGCCCCGTCTATATTTTTTCTTTCATTCAACGGAAAATCATGTCGTCAATTTGTTTTCAGCCACTATCTCACTAGCATGTGTTTTTTTTGCATTTCTGGTCGCAAGGAGCGCTTCGAATGTTCTGCCGTCCTTTCAAAATGATTTTTTATTGTTTGGTACATGCTTTGGCATTCCCTACTTACTGCTTTTTTATTTCTTTCCTGTTTTTATTCCGTTCAATTGCTAGACTCACCCATCGTTTAGTGTAATTTAGTTAGATTTTCTTTTCTTCTGCTCCGCTTTTTGTGTTGTTGACGTTGCTTTCAGTTCGCAAAGACACGATGGCACGAGAGAAAGAAAAGAAATCACATTGGGATGTGATCTCAGACTGAGCCAATATTGCGAGAGAAAAATTCCATATTGTATTGGCATTTACATCGATTCCATAATACATCTCATCTCAGATTGATTGCAAATCTGATTACGTCCAAAATAAGATCTAAAGTATTTTGACTTATTGATGTTCAATGTGAAACCACTGGTTGCCATTCGCGACTGATCTTGTTTCAAGAAACGCACACACACACACTCCGAAGTACATCCGATTTGCACCATTCACATTTTACCACATCACATCGTCAACCTCTACTCCAACTCACGACACACAGAGAATACGAACAAAAAAACAAAAAATTGGAAAAACAAAGGGCCGAATGCGAATTATTGTAGCAGCTAAAAAATTTAAAGCGCATCAACAAGCGTTTGTGCTTCGTAATAATTTGTGTCATACATCTACTGTCGACGACGACTACGATGGGCGCAAAACGAACGCAAAAAAAAATATGATTCAACCTACATTTTACCGAAAATAAAATCGATACAGTTTAAGGTCTCCCATAAAAATCGAAGTGGAGAAAGTAGCGAGACCGAGTGAAAATAAAATAAAATCAAGTTTTATTACGTATAGCTGAGCTCATTTCGCTTTGATTGTAACATCGTCATCATGAGGCTGGCTCAACAAATACATGTATGTCAATCCGGTAATCCTTTCGGCCAAAAAACCGAGTTCTATATTTTATTTCAAAGGCATTTTGCGTGGATGACTCGTGTATGCCGATCCCAACATTCACCGCTGTGCCTCTCGTGGGAGAAAAAGAGCGAAAAAAGCGACAACCGAAACGAACGAACGAACAAAAAGAAAACATACTGAACAGATTAAACAAACGTTTCACCGTCAATACTTCAATGGCTCTCTGTATATCAAATGAATAACAAATGTTCATTTTGTGTTCACCGTATCACCGAACGATTCAGTCGCTGAGTTGCGTTTTCTGCTCCCTTTTTCGTCCATTTTTACTGCCTTAATTCGTCGTATGTTTGTTTATGTAAATCAATGTTCACAACATCGATAAACGCTGCCCTCGGATTCTTCGCTATCTTATCGTCATCTACTTTCACTATCTTTATTTTTTGCCCCCTTTTTCATTCCTTCCATTTCCCTCTCTTTCACTCTCACTCTCACTGCGTCTCTGCCTCATGTAATAAAATACACTTTACACTATGCGTCTCGTAATCTTTTCCTTTTACTGATTGCGGTACGATTTATTGTATTTACATCTTGACGCATGCATTGTGTGTTTTCATCTCCATTTCCGATACTTAGGTTGATTAGGGAGCCTCATGAATTTTGCAATTGCATCAACATAAAATTCATCATGATTGCGTTGAGCTGTTTATTTCAATTAATAATCGCTAAGCTGTGCGACGGTTCCATTCGATATTTTTTTTTGCCTGGAAATTTAATCCCTTTTAAATAGAGAAAGGATTTTCTCAATGGAGTTGAAATTTTTGGTGAACATTTGAACAAATTACATATGTCCAAGCGTCGCGTGATAATTGACTATTTGTAAAACAAAGAGCACCAAAGTAAAATGATTATTGAGATGGAGCTGCAAGTGCATCGTGATTTATTTCTACTTTATTCAGTCGAATGTTAAGAAATTCGAATCAATGTGGAAAAAGCATTGGAAGGGCATGAAAATCCAGCAACCACCCACCATCTTGATGGTTGGCTTGATTTTTGCTTTAGTTTGCGTCTTGCATACATTCAATGCGATTCAACGAAATGGCTGTATATTATTGTTTCTTCCAATTCATTCGATAAATTATGTAAATGTATTGTTCGACAAGACAAGGCACAGCAGGACGGATAAATGGTATGAAATCAACTATTCAAGCTTCCTTTTTTTTCGCTGAGAAATCCAGCAGACAAGTGTGAGCGCGCACGCGGCAAAGGGAAACAACTGTTATTTGATTTACCGGGAAAATGTTCGACGAATCCGAAAAAAAAAACGGCTGAATCTTGGCAATTTTCCGCGAAATTCCAAATGGCATCGGTAAATCGGATTCGAATGAAAATTTATGGTTTATCGTGATGGATTCAAATAAAATTCAAACGCTTGTGTTGATTTCTTTTTAAATGAATTGAATATTGTTATCGAACTTTGAATGACTGAACTTGTCGCATCAAATAGTGACGAATGATTTTGCGTGTATATACAATAGTTTTTCCGATATCTGTTTTGTTCGTTTTAATTGAATAAGCTTGAATCGGAATGATCGCATTAGTGAAAAGCATTTCTTTTAATCAGAGACTAATAAGGATTTTCGTGAACTTTCATGAAGGATGATAGTGATATTTAAAAGAAACTAACAATATTCGACATCTTGATAATTTTATGTATCGTCTGTTTCAAAGCATTACTTTGTTGACTAATGACTATTTCCAGTTGTGTATACTAACTAACTTTTTGAATGCCGTGTCAAAATTCATTAGAAAAAAGCCGTATTATTTTGCATTTTCAATGAATAAAATCAAATAATGCCTGGCTTTTAGTTATTAAACTTTTCCGATCATAAGGAAATCATTGAAATTGTTCTTAATTTTTTTTTTCTCTCTTCAATTGCAGTAAGAATCAGTTAGCAAAATGCAATCAACCGATCCCGGTGGTCCAGCTGCTCAAATGTCACCCGATCATATGAAATCAACATCATCATGGGAGCAAACGAAAACATGGATGGTCCGATGGCGAGGCTCTCGTCAACTGGTTCTCGTCATCGTAGCTATTGCCCTGCTGCTGGACAATATGCTGCTAACCGTTGTGGGTGAGTATGCCGAAAGCGAATAATTTAAATACCTAGTTCAACAACTAGGTATTGGACCATAGGATGAAAATGGTCTGAAAATGTCGAAATGGACAAGACGAAACTATCAACACCAATTAATTCTTTAGCAAAGCTAGAGTTTCATCATTCTGTTGGCATAGTCTTTTGTATAACCAATTGACGCCTCAAAAAATGCGGAACTTGTAAGGCGCAAATAAATGTCGTCGATATTAACATTGGATACATAGTTGCCGTTTAAATATGTATGCCAGTCGAGTTTGTTCGGGATTAATTTAGTCGAATGCGAGCAACCGATATGCCGAAATGAACGCGTGAACGCACAAAGTTTAAGCAAATTCAAAGAGATTGTGTGACAAAAAGGATGGCAATAATGACGAAATGATAAAAATTGTAAGGGGAACAACGAAGAGAGTGGAAAAAAAAGCGGCCCTTTCACAAACATTCACTTACGGCTGGGAACGCTGTCACTGGCACATGAACGGAAAATGGTACTTGAAAACTTCCAAATGAAACGGAAACGAATTTTCTATTGAAGAAAAGCCCATCTAGCTCAGCGTCCCTATATACATTTGCCACAGTGGAATCGAAGCGAAAAACTTTTCGTCTTTTGTCATGGCTTTTTCGATTTGATTTTTGCATTCGGCTGTTTGTGTGTGTGTGTGTGCGCTCGCACGCGCTATGTCACACAAAATGCAAATGTGCAACAAAGCGTTAAATCCTGTGTATGTGTGATGCGTATATGATAGGGGTCCCAAGTGAACGCATGCAGTTTACTATTCAAAACTAAATGATTTGTTGAAAACTTTGGTAGCCTTGTTAATACAGTGCTCAATGCTCATTCCGTTTTGTCTCTTAAATTCTTTTGGAAGTGACTTTATCATCACGGAAAGACTCAGAAAGAGAGAAAGAGAGAGAGAGAGAGAGAGAGAGTAAGACGGGATGGTAGAGAGTAACCAAGTTCAAGAAAGACACATAAAGAAAGAGAAAAAGAGAGAGAGAGAGCATCGATGAAGCTGAATATAAACGACAAGTTAATGATATGAAAAGAATCGAAAAGTTTTGCAACAGTAAAAAGTAAACGATTGTCGCACAATTGATTGCCACTGAATGGAATAATCGCAATTTGGCACAATTCACTTTGGTTCTTTTCAATTAAATGGATTAGTTTCATATTGAGATCGCTGGACGGCAGCTTGTGTTTTTTCTGCATTCTAATTAAAATAAATCCTAAATAGTAATCATCGTATCAATGGCTCATTTTGCTAATCATATCAAAACAATTGATGTGGTTTGGGTTACATTCAATGTAGTAGCAGCTACGATACACGTGCTCATCCGCTCACCATTTTGCTTGCATCGTTTTTTTCTGTCGAAAATCAGTCGTTGCTACGTTGCGAAACGATGATTTTTGAAGCAATCACATTGGTACACCACTTCCAACATATAAGCCGAAGAGGGTGATGCTCCTGCCGTTGCGTCTTACTCGTTTATTAATTATGCGTTAGAGAATTTAAAAAATAATTTCCAAATGATGACACAATGTATTAGCATTTGTAACATCTCTCACATTGGCCGTAGATCCACTTTTAAAGAGGATTAAATGTGGGCGCTAAAATTCCATATTCGACAAAAGTCGCGCGGTTTTCGGAATAATTGCATGAATTACACCATGACAACCGCACGCGCACTTTTTTCCCTATGCTCGATTTGGCATTAGTTTGGCATTAAAAGGCATTGAGCACATCGTCGAGCTTCGATATGACAAATCATATTTTTAAATTCAAGAAAAAAATCAATTGGAAGTTTAAAGTCCCAATCACATTGTTAATTGAATTAGAAGTCATGTGTACATGGCACGAGCCAACGTCCTATCGGAAATGACATTGGAATCTTTCAGTGGAATTTAAAACGTATTGAAAAAAAAAATCGATACCATTCACTTTTATGTTTATATCGATCATTTTATCCGAATAGAAAATCCAATAAAATCCACGTTTTCCTTTCGTTCTAATCACACTCAAAAGTTCAAGCAAATAATTTTAATGGGCCGTTAAATGATGTGTTAAAGTGATGATTTCACGCAAGTGATGATTCGTGCGAAAATCAATTGAATATCGCTATAAGGGAAAAAAAACCAATTTCAAGCGCGTGTAGATCGACAATTAACTGGAATAGTTGTAATCGTGATCGAAACACGACAACAACTTTGTCACCAGAAATAGTTGCAACAACAATCGTTGTTCACAGTTCGAATAGAAATAGTTGCAATCGATTTGTAATTGTAATTTCAGAAATGAGAAGAAAAAAACGTACACCCAAAGAGTGTGTAAGGTTTATTTGTCGTCAAATGAGCAAATTTATTTAAAAGAAATCAATGTATTTATTTTTATTGTTCGGTGAATTTATATATATATATGGTTGACGTTTTATGGCTTTTCCAATGCGACAGTTCCTGTTCGTGAAATTACGTACACATGTGTGTAATGTTGACTCTCTCTATATATTTTTTTCCTATACATATTTAGTTTCAACACTCTTGGTGTCAATTGAATCAATATTAATTTGTTATAATGCATCGGTTAAGTATGTTGGCCAGCGAAACATTGTGTCACACACGCACAACATAGATAAATAGCAACATGTTGTGAACAAGAAAAATCATTCTATCGAATTCACTCAAACAATTCCAATATGCACCCATCCCATCCACCCACACCCAATACCCTTCCGATCCATTTGAGCGCGAAATGTGTATGTGAGTCGAGTTGGGTTGGTGTGATAGGGTGAGACTTGAAAAGATTTCTCTTTTTATTTTCACCATTTTACATCTCTTTTACCATTGCCATTTACTTTGCCCTCTCTCTCTCTCTATCTCTCTCTCTCGCTTGCTCGCGAACACACAATGTGTGTGTGTGTTTCACGTGAAACACTTACGTGTGTATCGTTGCGGAAAATATATGTCCAATGTATTATTTGAAATTGATAGAAAGAAGTAAGTAGAAGAGAAAAAAGAAGAACGCTTCGGTTTTATATGTTGGCTAAAAAGAAGTATGAAAACGTTGTCGACCGTTTCACACTCTCTTAAATACAGGGTCCATTGATGTGGCGACAATATTATTCGGGGCTATTGAATCGAATCTGATTCGAATGTGTAACCGTGCGACACACTCACACACACACACACACACACCCCGAACAAAAAGACGATGTGCAATAAGATTGAGGAGGGAGGAATGGGGTGGCTATTTTTGAGGGGATGAACTTCACGATCACTTGAGTGCAAATAGTGTTTTGCTATTTACAATCGTTTTGTCGGTGCCACTACTAAAGCTAATGGTGTTTTCGTAATGTCAATAGGTCTGAATAGATCGACGATTTAAAGTGCTTTGGCACTGAGTTGCTTCGGCCAATCCAACAATATATAAACCAAACTGAACCGTACCGTACTGTGGAACCGATAGATGGAAGTCTCGAAATTAAATGGAACAAACCATTTCAATTGTGTGTGTGTGAGTACATCATAAAATTACGATAAAAATTAATTTCGATTTGGAATCTCGACAATAGAACGTGCCATGCAATTCAATACGATGATTGAAAACTGCAAAAAGCACATAAATCCACTGCGCAAACGGCTCATTTATTGAATTTTCAATTTAAATTGTGAGAAAAAGAACAATATTTATTCCATACACACATGCATTCGAACCAAGCGTGTGGATGGTGTGTGTGTGTGTGTGTGTGAAATGACATATTCGAACACACTTGTTGATTGCAAAATGATGGCAAATGTATTAGTCACGTATACTGTACACGTCGTACAGTAACGTTAAAACTGGTCAAATTTCATTTGCACATTTTCCAATCCAATCGAAATCAAAGTATATATGTACGCATTAATTAACGCCCTTTGTCGCTGTGAGAACTACTGAAGATGAAGGAAAAAACACAAGAAAACCATCGTTAGTTTATCCAAATGCAAATAGAATGCTTTACGATATGCATTTAATTTGATGATAAACTCTAAGTGACATGGATTCGCACGTATAAGAAATGGTGCAAGGAGTGAAGTAGCCGAAAAACAGTCCGACATCAAAACAACCAAAACAAATATAAACAAGGGAAATGGTATAAAAACCGAACTCAATTTATCTTTTTGATTTCCATTCCGTACATGGAATGCAATCTGGTTAGCTAGAGCGAGCGAGTCGAGCTATCCCCCAAAATCAATGAATTATATGAATGAAACATGAACTCGACCACACATACACAGAGACAGAGAGATGGGGATGGCTACTTATTTAATCGTTGCATGATAAACATTACGGCAACCGTTGGACGGTGTTAAGAGTGTGCGTTAGTGCGTTTTTGTGAGCGTATTTTTTTTTCCTGTTGTTGGGTAATTCATTTGGAATATATGAATAAATTACGGTTACAGCATCAATATTATAAAGCCAATGGCTAAGCATTAATACATACTGTGTATTACACACATTCGCTCTCCTTAAGCGAATCTGATGTCTTTCACCGTCTCTCTCTCTCTCTCTCTCTGTGTGTGACGATTTGATTTGTTGCATAAATTTCAGTTGAACAGCGTAAATGTTCCACAGATTTACATCGGAATAAATGTGCAAATATTATCTTATATTTGCACATAGAAACGTATGAATTTCATTGCTGGTGCTGAGAATGGGGGATGGTGTGCAGCAACACATACACATCAGAATGGATATTTTGAATCATTTTACCTTATTTTTGGTTTTGAAATGTTTTCAACTTCTTTCTTCTCAGTTTGCCAATTCTGTTCTAATGCCACTCAGTTTATTTCATCGATGAAAATTCATCGATGTCAATTTGTTGGTGTTGATTCTCGCTTTTTGTTCCGTTCGATTCGAGAGATCAATGAAAATCAATCGAATTTTACAAGTAATTTACCCTTCATAATTGCCAATTTAATGAAGCAACGACAAACAATTAAAGTTCAGTTTCATGCAACAACTGGGAAAGGGGAAAGGGCTTCGGTGTTGCTGTAAAAGGGGAAATTGAATTTGAAATCTTTTTGTCAACTGTATGTAATAATATCCGGGCAATATCGATCTGCATGTATATAAAACTCAGTGTCAATGCAAAAGAGCAAAAAATGGGAATATTGGGTGAGGGTGAGAAAGAGAGAGAGAGAGAGAGGTAATGGGACGAAGAGCTGCTGATACTTTTAAGACAATATGACATCGAGACAAATTGGGGCTCAAAATAAAATTACTAATCTTATTAAAATCATAAATAGAACGTAAAATTTCATCGTACATCGCTTGCATGTGCCATGCAACACAGCATGGCGATTACTAGCTGATAAGGATATTTTTCACTCTAGCGGAATTCAGCAACATATGCCGTACATATCTATACACATACACCATTTATTTAGTACCAGTATAATAATTATATACCAACTTTTTTTGTCATCGCTTTTGATTTTCCACTCATTCCTTGCATCTCTTCCACAGTACCAATCATACCGGAATTTTTGTACGATATACGGCATCCGAATGCAACATTGGATAGTCTGCCACGAATACCGCTTACCACACCAGTTCCATGCGATCGTCCCACTGACGGCACTGAATACACAACGCTTTCCGCTGGTAAGATGCAATTTTGTTAATCGCATTTGCAACACAGCATTGCATCGAAGGAAGCAAGCCGCCAGTAGCTTCATTGTTACCATATTACCAATCAAAATTGGATTTACCTATTCATTATTCTATGCTGTTGCAAATAATAATAATAATAATAATAAACAAACACTTGTTCTTCTCGTTACGTTTCAGAAAATGCAAGTTTCTACGCTGAACTGGATGCCCGGCACAAAGAATTGGTCGGCGAAACGGTCGAAATTGGCATCATGTTCGCTTCAAAAGCTTTTGTTCAACTGCTTGTCAATCCAATTGTTGGTATTCTTACACACCGAATCGGCTACAGCATTCCAATGTTCTGCGGCTTTATCATTATGTTTATTTCAACCATCAGTGCGTATTTTTTTTTTATATCTTAAGTTCCTCATTAGACTCAGCTCGAGTCGATCATATTTTGTGTTTTCTTTTTTTAATAATATCCTTATTTCCTTTTTGTGAAAACAGTTTTTGCATTTGGTCGTTCATACTGGGTCCTGTTTGTGGCAAGAGCGCTTCAAGGTGTCGGTTCATCGTGTTCGTCCGTTTCCGGTATGGGAATGCTTGCTGATCGCTATACTGATGATAAAGTACGCATTCAATCGATCTATACAATTATGTTTTAATTTTTTTTTTCTCTACAACAAAATACTTGAAGCAATGCTTTCTAATATTTTTGCTGTGATTCGTAACGTGTTGCCTTCGTTAATTTTGAATTAGGAACGTGGAAATGCGATGGGTATAGCATTGGGTGGTTTGGCTTTGGGTGTATTAATTGGTCCTCCATTTGGTGGCATTATGTACGAGTTCATTGGTAAAACGGCACCATTTCTGATATTATCGGCATTGGCACTGGGCGATGGAGTTTTACAACTCTTTATGCTTCAACCAAAGATTGTTCAACAAGATTGCGATCCACCATCACTCAAATCGCTCGTCTCTGATCCATATATTCTTATTGCTGCAGGTGATGATTTTTTTTTTGTGATTTTTTGATGATTTTTTTTAGAAATTTTTTCGATTTTTGTGATGATTTTTGGTTTGTGATTTTTGTAATTTTTGTGATGATTTTTTTGTGATATTTTTTTTAGAATTTTTTTTTCGTTTTTTGTGATGATTTTTCGGTTTTGTGGACAAAAAAGCATATTCACCTTGCAAATACAGGGAAGTTTATTGGGGAGGTAAAACTGACAGCATCACAAAAAATCATCACAAAAATCACAAACCAAAAATCATCACAAAAATCGAAAAAACCTCTCCAAGCAACCTCCCAGTTATCTGTAGGTGATTATGATTTTTTGATGATTTTTTTAAGAACATTTTTTTAACTTTTTGTGAGATCTTTGGTTTGTGACATCTTGCTGGTCACTCTGTTTCTTCTATTTATTTTAAATATCTTGAATTCTTATTCTCATTCAAAAGTATGGTGAAATCAATCAACTAGACGAAAAATCAATAAAAAAAAATATTGTCAAACAAAAAGAACTATTTTCATAATGATTTTGCTTTATTGTTTGGTGCGTGTGTATCAATCATTGCAGGTGCCATAACATTTGCGAATATGGGTATTGCAATGTTGGAACCATCGTTGCCAATTTGGATGATGGACAATATGGGCGCGAGTCGATGGGAAGTTGGCGTTGCATTTTTACCAGCTTCAATCAGCTATTTGATTGGCACAAATCTGTTTGGGCCATTGGGCCATAAGATTGGCCGTTGGTTGGCCGCTTTGCTTGGCTTGGTCATAATTGGCGTTTCATTGCTTTGTGTAAGTAAAATTTTCAATTTTCAAAACATAATAACCATATCGTAATAATTGAAAATTTTCTTACAGATTCCGCTTGCCACCACAATCATGCACTTGGTTTTACCAAATGCTGGTCTTGGCTTTGCCATCGGTATGGTTGATTCGTGTATGATGCCCGAGCTGGGCTATCTAGTTGATATCCGACACTCGGCCGTGTATGGTAGCGTTTATGCAATTGGTGATGTAGCATTTTGTGTAGGCTTCGTGGTTGGACCCGCTCTAAGGTAATTTTTTGAACAGAGAAATACGCAAAATGGTCCAACTTTTATGGAATCAAAGGCAATTTTGTAGAATCAATTCGGAAAAATTGTTACATTAACAAAAAATGGCTATTTCTTGGCGAAATTTTTTTTTCTCGAAAGAACGGGTAGCTTTCAATGAAATTTCAATGAAAAGGTCATTTGGTGCGCTTATTTTTGTTATTGTCAATCTACTTGTGATCGAGGAAGTGTTTATCTGTCACACATATCAAGTGAAGTAAATAGTTTTTTTTTTCTTCGGTCCAATGTGACTCCTTTGACTTTGTTTTTACCAGTTTATTGACATTTTAAACGATCTCCTAATGAGCGAATGACCCTTTTTTGTGTGTCACACATTTTAGGCGTTTTAAATTCAATATTGGACAATTCAAGCGATGTTTTTTTTTTGCATAAAATTTTAGAATTAGTATGAGCATTTTGGGTAATCTTAATCGGTTAAATCGTCATTGACTAACAAATTTCCGAACTAATTTGCATAATTTTTCGTATGTGTGTGATATTCAGCGATCGATACTAATGGATTCGATACGGTTTGATTTGAACTCGGTTGTTTATTTCTCTTTCTTTTTGTCTCATTCCAGTGGCACGCTTGTGAATAGCATCGGATTTGAATGGATGTTGGTGGGCATCGCTTGTTTGGGTTTCCTGTATGCACCATTGTTGACATTCTTGCGAGCACCACCGACCAAAGAAGAAAAGAAGGTAGGTGATGCACCGAATGGTGCAGCCGCAAATGTTGTGACTGCAATTACAAATGGCGATGCAAGCGAAAAGAAAGGCATCTTTAACATTGCAATGACACTTGATAATGGTGATCTTGCGCTGCCGAAGGCCGCTACCAATCATATAGCAACCGACGACCAATGTGTTACCAAATTATAAGTTATTTTTGTCACCTTTATTTGTATTTCTTTTCCATTTGACTTGTTTTTTAGTTGATAATTATCTAAATTAATTTTGTAGTTTTAATTGAATTTTTAATTTTTTAATAAATTGTTTCAAGCTCTTTGGATTTCAATCAGACATGCGCACGCACAAAATTTTCAGATGGGGGGGGGGATTGGAATCTGGAAATGGAAGATGAGATTTGAACTCATTTCAAAAAAAATCTTCGAAGGGAATCGAATTTCGAAAATGGAGGGTGAGGCCTGAAAATGTCTAGATAGAGTCTATTTTTGGATTTTTTAGATCCCAAAATCGGAAACCTCCCTCCCTATGCGCATGTCTGATTTCAATTGAAAATTCGTATCATTCGATAGAGACCGAAAGTATTAGCTAGCAAATTGTTTTCGTTTGTCATTGACGAGCTGGCAATGCGAATGAAATGCTCGTTTATATTACGTTTTATTATTAATATCGACACAGTTCAGTGAATATCAAATGAAATTTTTTTGTTTACATCATTTAGATTATGTGCATATTGGAATTTTTAATTGTGTAATTTTCTTTTGTTTAATTAAAAAAAAGACTTTTTCACACGAATACGACGCTTTGTTTTGTCTTTCTCGCTCATTCTTGTGTTTGATTTTTTTGCTTTTATTTCATTGTTTATCTTAATATATTCTGATTTCGATTTAGATTTATTTTCGATGGACATTTAGCTGCCGTTCTTCTTTTTATAGCGGCCGCTTCGAAATAAAAAAGAAAACCGTCATTTGACCACTTATAGAAATCTATACATTGAAACTAATGCCATTACTATTTTCTTCTTTCTCTTCTTCTTCTTCTTCTTTTCTTCTTGTTCCTCATCTAATTTGCATTCATTGCGTTATCGTTGCGGACATGGGAGCAGTCTTTGATGAACGAACGCTCATCGGTTCGCTATGTGAGCTATCAAAACGATGACGACGAATAATCGTAGCCCGAAATCGATTGAACGAGTTGAATCACCAATCCGCATGCTTTTTTATGAAACATAATAAACAATTGATGATGATAAATGCCACATTTTGTCCGCACTTCTACACCAACAAAAAAAAAACACACTTAACCAACAAAAGAAAAAAAAAACAACTAAACGCCAACCATTTTCAACACAATCGGGAATGTTGCCACCTTAAGCGCGATCGATTCATTTGATTTATTCGGAAATACACGGAGAAAGGTAAAACGAAATTTAAACAAGAATTTAGAACCAAGAACAAAACACATGCGAAAGAAAATCGAACTGAATATGAGAAATTGCTGAAATGAAAAAAGTATTTTGATCAAAATATCCAGAAGAAAGAAGAAAAATTTGACAAGACGAGGAAAGTCCAAAATCGCATATTTGCGCTGATAAAGAAAGGATAAGCGCATTTAAAACAACTAATTTTTTGATGATCATGGAGCAGAACAACCAAGAAAATATACCCATTTATTTGCATGAAACAGCTAATTATGAAACAGATCTTTTTCTCACCCTTAAATTCATCTCTTTTCACTTTAGTTGAAGAGCATTTTATCAATAGAAAAAAAAAAGAAATTCTTGTTGCAATTGTACTTTACGATAGCCAATTAAGACATGTTCAAGAGATACAGTTTTTGAGAGAGTTTATTTGAATGTTATACATATTCCGAAGCATATAACACAAGAGAGAATGAGAAAAAAAAAACACTAATATACACACAAACGCAAGAATTTTAATATTTGTTGTTGGTAATTTTCAATATATACTCAATCCAATGTGCAATATAACATAAAATACGTACGTAAGCGAGCGATTGTGAGGTGCTTTATTGAGTTATAACAGTTGGTGTGTGTGCTTGATTGTAACACACCATCGATTGTTTCTTGTTTTTCACCTTTTCAATCCGACCTAAATTTTGTTCGTTCGAATTTCATTTGAGTACAATCTTTGTGGCTCATTCACTAGCAAATTTTTGTTATTCGTTCGTTGTTGGATTATGACAACACGGAAAAATGGTCATCTATGCACTACATCTCAACTGAGCATCTACAAAATTGATGCTTTGTACATTTAGATGAACTGTTCAACATGAACAACAAGGGTGTGTTGGTAAACACACATTGAGAGTGTATTGAAAAATTAATTTCGGTTTTAAAAGACCACACACCAAACATACAATGAACATGCTACGAACAATATAAACACAGAAACTGTATAAATTCACACAAAAAACTAACTATGATTCACTTGTTATGCTGTGCACCAAAATAATAATAATACTTAATAAATAGTCTAAATAAATTTGAAGCAATTCGACAAATAACAACAACAACAACAAAAAAACCAAATAAAAGCAAAACTGAACATTTAACTTAGACCGAGAGAAATGCATATATATCAAATGAACTAGAAATGTTAAGGGCGATACAATTCATCGCAATCGTAATGAATCGATCCATGATAGTTTATTTAATGAGAGAAAAGCTGCTTTTCTATTTTGTCGTAACTTTCAAAATGGAAATGCGAACGAGAACCACACGGTTCAACAAAGGCAATGAGTTTGAAATTATTTCCTTGGTAACCAAACGATACCAATTCCAGTTTGAGTTATTTTTTACCATGCCACATACATTGGCCAAACACTAAAAGTGTTACACTATCCAAGGAACAACCACTATTTAACTACTCCCTGCAAGCCAATACAAGTCAATCATACCTTCATTTATACCTTTTTTTTCTTTCATTTCCTTACCTTATTCGAATCTTAGTTTTAACTTGGATTTACTGTGGAAAAGATATTTTGACCACTTTTACCAACCTTATCACACCTGATTTCCATTCAGTCGTAGAATCTTTCCTAGAATTATCTCGGTCGACTCGAATGTAGAATGATCTCTTTAATGTAACTCGGTAGTAGAGTATACTCAAAATGGTCAAAACAGATGAAAAATATCGCCAACAATGCGGTAGAATCTTGGAATCTTTCCCGTTACAGAACATCTTCGAACGAGCGAATACAATCCAAATCAACCATCATTTTCTTCCATCTAATTTCCTTAAACGAACTCTTTTCATTTAGTTGCTTTTTGGTTGAAATAGTTGTATTGTAAATTTTTCGTGATCGACATAACTGATCGATCACATCAAGACGATGTTCCAAGAACAAACACATCTCTTTCACAAACACCTTACTGTAAACGGTGTGTATTACTCAACAAGAAACAAACAAAACAAAACGTATTTCGTACAGTTAAGAAATGATGTTATATTAATTATTCAATGTTCACCTTAGATTCGCTATTTATATGCATGCAAAAAAGAAAGTAAAAAAAAGAGTCCACTATCTGTTTATTAGGATATAATCAGAGTTGAAAATAATCAATACAATATTTAGATGTTTTTTGTCATTTCTCAAAAGTCCTTAATTAATAAGGCCAAAAAAAAAGAACAAAAAAAATACGCAAATGCATACATGGAATATAATGGGCAACAAAAATATCTTAATCGTATGGAATTATCAAATAAACGTAAATATGATTCTGCATTTAGAAGAAAAAAAAAACATAGATGTAATTGTCGTTTTCATCAAGCATATTAATCAAATCTTATGAATGATACAAAGTTCAAAGAAGAAAAAAAAAACCATATATTATTACTGTGTGTTTGATTTGGTCCTCTCTCTCTACAGCAGATAATGTGAAAATGAGAATAATATACATTTAGAAAACAAAAACATACAAAAGATGATTAACACGAAAGAATTGAAAAAAAAAATGTTAATGTTTTTTTTTTGGTCTTTGATGTCTAACTTATAATCAGTATGATGTTTTCAACAAAATAACACACACTCAATAGCGTTGATAAAGTAGATTTATTGGATAGGTCCCCTTTGATCGGGAAGGGGAACGCACCACAAACATGAGTTAAACGATTTGCTATTTGAATATATCGGTGCGCGAATAAAATGCTGCGTTTGCTTCTTTGGAGTGTGCTACAGGTTTTTCATTCGATAATCACGTATTGAAGAGAGAAAAGAGTCGTCGATGTGATCGTCAGTGGTTAAAAGCGAAAAGAAAACAACATGAGTAACAGCAACAACAACAATTCAGTGACCGTGAAAATTATGCTTGGCTGCACAATTGGTGCGTGCACCACAGATGAAATGTAAGACAAATGCACATACATTTGACTGACAGCGCGGCTTAGGCTTAACTTTTTCAACTTCTGAACTGGACTTTTTCAACTCCATTCTGAACTGAAATAATATATTGACGACGAAAACAACAAAACCACCAACAGCGCATCAAAGGGGCAATGCGTGATGCATTACAATGGGTCATCCATCTGTGGAAGTTTGAATGGCTGCAAATTTCCTACTCAGATAGCTGTCTCAGCATTAGGAGCAGCGAACAATGCCCAAAAAAAAAATTCGGTTTTTCTGTAAATTTTCGTCGGCGGTGATAATGTGGACGCCAATCTAGATGCGGTTAACTCATGTTCCTTAACATTATAAGTTTATTGCAATGAAAATAGCATTATTTTAACCAGATTGCAATTTGATACACACTTATTGAATATAAGCCAAAAGCAATGGATAAAAAAAATGACACACAAGAGAAATAAGTCTATTTTGCTGTTGTTTTCTTATTTTCTTCTTAAACCTTTTTCGGTTCTGTAAAAGATTTTTCTTTAAAAATTGGAATTCACAACGATTTGTGTCTAAGCAGACACACACACACAAACACATACATAAACAAACACTTACAACACTCATGCAAATACGAAAAATATTTTCTTGAGAATTGCTCAATCAATCACAAAATGACAAATGTCAGAAGTAAACAAAAAAAAACTTTGCTCGCGAATAACTTGTTATAAGTATAAGCAACAAAAAAAAACAAGAAATGAATGAAAAATACTCATCATAGCAGTTATTAAACCGAACAAAAATATTTTGTCGTATTTTTTTTTTCTCTTGTCGATTTGGTTTTTTGGTCCAAATATGGGCGATATTCCTAAGTATTTCGTTGGTTTTCTTTTTCGTTTCGGTTGTGTATCAATCTCAAAATTAAAAGATCTGAACATAAAGATTATCTAATTTAAATGCAAATATTTCACACACACAAAATGCTGGTATGGGGTCAATACAACAAACAAACAAACTAAAAAAAAGTCAATACACGACTAATTCTTAGCTTAAGTAAATGAAAAGAAATGAGATTAAATCTTATTAAATGTTTCTGCTATTTAACAAAATGATGAATCTAATTTTTTGATTAGTCCATGTATATTTGGTAGTTTCTTTAATGTGCTTACTCTTACTATTACATATAAATTATATATATATATATATATGTTTAAAAAAAAGTGACATGAGCAAAATCTAAATAATAGCAAAAAAAAGAAGTACACAGTCCACATATAAACGGGAGAAATAAGGGATTCGGACATTTGTTTCATTAAGATTACATCATATCATAAAAAAAACTATTTATTAACCAAAAGCACTATTGGACACTATACACAATCACACAAAGATAACATCTAGTGTTTAGAGCGTTAGAATCTGCATTTAGTTTTTTTTCCTTTTTCATACTTATGTTACTTTGAAAGATTAAAAAAAAAACCAAGTATATTTATGCAAACCAAAGGAAACAACAATCGATTTCCACAAAAAAAAACAACTATATATATTTATGAATTAATGTTTAATACTTATTAATGGCAATAATATACTTTGATTGGCAAATTGGATGGTTTTCTGGAGATACACACATCCACACAAAAAAAAAAAATTGTGAGAGAAAATAATAGCAAGCAAGTGAATAGGAATGAACGCTGTGTAATCGCTTTGTAATATAATAAAAATGGTAAACTGTAGCTTTAGTGTGATGGAATTTGTTTCATTATCTTTTTTTTATTGTCTAAATAGAAAATTCATTTCTTGTGGAACCACTATGCATTTGGCCACAGAAATGAAACACACAAAAACCAAAACCAACAAAAATAACACACACACAAATTGATCTCTATGTATATGAAAGATTACTAATTAAACAACAATTAAAACATAAATATCTCTAAATAAATCTATTCAACAACATCATATCATCCACAACAACTAAACAACAACAGAGTTGAATCGATGATATAAGACGACGCGATGTAGAAGCGTGTGCGTCTTCAGAAAAAAAAAACTCAACAACCAAAAATTACATGTACAATTAGCAAAACGTGAACAATTACATTGAATTGATACTATTGTTATGGAAAGAGGAAAATTGAAATAAAAAAACGCATCCCGTACAAAATAAACAACTACAAACAAAAACCAAAATATATCTATATATAAAACAAAATAGAGCACATACACTATTCAAAATTTAAATGATATTCGTATTTATGATAGTATTCAAAAATGGACCATATTCAAATACGGGATGAATTCTCTGTTTTAAAGTGAAATGCCGCAATTTTTCCTTTCATTTTCAACATATTTAATTAGCATTTCAAGATCATTTTCATTTTTAAACAATACATACAATACATAATTTTATCCTTAAAAACACTCACTCACACACTTACAAACACACACTCAATGATCAGACTTAAATAGAAAACGATGATGAGCAGGCAAGCGGTGAATTATATGCGCTGATTTTTGGAAGAATCGAACAAAAATGTTGAATACAGAAAAAAAAAACAATGCAAAATGGCGATTAATTAAGCTACACAAATATATAAATACAACACACAGACAATGAAATTGACCAATAAATGAGTCTCTTGATTATGGTGCTAGTGGCATCACAACAAAAAACACATACAAGAATAAAGAATTACAAATAAAGATCATGTTGTTGGTGAAAAAGCTCAAGGAAAAAGAACAAAAAAAAAATCACATGGCATTTTCATGGTTTTACTTACAGGTCACTTACGGATGGATAGTTTTACTTACAGGTCGTTTTCAGATGCATAGTTTTTGTTCGTCATTTTTAGATGGATTTTTTTTCTTCAGATCCAGTATGATTGAATGTCGTAAGTATGAAGACCTTTGATGTAGGAAAATACAAAACGGTGAGTTTATATACGGTGGAAAAAACTGAATTATTCCAAAGTAACGCTGAAAAGACTGAAAATTTTGAAAAAGCTGTAAATCGTTGAGCGTAGTGGAAAGGCTGAAAAACCAGATACAGAACGCATTGCGATATACATTTTTATGATCGCACTCATAAAAACCTGTCAAAACGTACATTTTTCTCTAATAATTTGTAGAGAAAGTTGTCCGGTTCAAAAGCCGCTTCAAAATTGTTGTCATCTTCTTTGAACGTTTAAATTGAAACACACGCACATAGATCGTTCATATATGTTTTAATATATATTATTTATTTTCACTCTCTTCACAATTAGTCACATAGGTTTTTTTTCAGTTGAGTAAACTCTTACAAATTATTTGTTTCAATTCATATAATAGTTATTAGATTTTATTTTCTCTTTTCGATTCCAAATTTTAAAATTGGCTTATGAAATATGTTCAACTTATTGCCTATATTTTTCACAAGAGAGAGAGAGAGAAAAAAATGATTGAACAAACAGAAAAAATGGAGTTAAAACCATTAAAAATGAATAGTCTCTATTTCTTGGCTCTTTTCCAAGAGCATAGATTATAGCATTGGATGGATTTCAGCTACAAAAATATGATTCGCTGGCTGGTGCAATTCGTTGTGCATTTGTGTATTTAAGGCTAGTTGATTAGTACATTTGATTTTTATAGTTTTTGTTTTGCTTGCTGAAAGTGAGAGAGATATAGAAAATAGCTTAATTCCCAAGTTGGAAAATCGCCATTTAAATCAGTCTCTCGTATGAATATTGCTACTTAAAATCTGAAGGCATTTACAAATGGCAAGAGATATGTTTTTGTGTATGCTTTTGATATATAAACTTATTGACGATTGAATTGTTCTGATTATCGAATCAAATTCACAGCTAATTTGCTTATTGTTCCATGGAGTTGGTCGATCGGTTTGTTTGTTTCAGTTTCAAAATAAAATCTCATCATCTCTCTGTTTTTAAATAAATATTCTAATGCTGTTCATGATCAGCCACAATAAAAAATCTTCACGACGACGAAAAAAAAAAATACTTCAAAATAAATACAATTCAAATATAAACAGTTCCAAAATAAATACATAGTATAAATAAATTTGGTGCACTTTTTGTTTTGTCTCTATCTGTAATTTTCAATCCAAGAAAAAAGTGTGCGTTTGCTATGTGGCGATAAAATGTGGCTCTAAGCTCATTTCATCGAGTTAATTTAGTCATCATGTATTTCGGTCGTCATTTCTTATGATATGCTTTTTGTTAATTGTCTTCTACGAGTTTGTGTATGTATGTGCTCACCTATGTCTACCGACTGTTATTAGTTCATTACAATATTTTTGTCTTAACAACTAGCATTTCTTCATATGTATTTCCGTTTTCTACTAAACTAATCGACTTTGAGTTTTGTCATACACCGCAAAATGAAATATCTATTGTTGCATGCGATAGGATACTTCTGCAATCTTATACAATAAGAGTGAAAATTTAGAATATCTTCAATTGTCTTATACACTAAAATCGACCTCTCACTATAATTGTAAACATTGTACACAAGTTCTCTGTTCTATTCACACTTCCTCTTCGAAAGTGTTGTGGGTACGGTAAACCAAATGTATAAATATTGGATGAAGATTCATCACATTTCTTTCTCCAAAAGTTTGTATAGTAAATTTTCCGTTATGTCGGGTCGAAGTATTTATGTTTCCTTTTATTGATGCTAATATCAAAAACTTAGTCTAAAATTTAATTTTGTCGCTGGGGAATACATTATCATAAAAAGACAGAATTTTATTTTTGGTCATGTCTGATAAGAGTTTAAACTGCGACACATAAAAATGTGTTTGAATTGAGCAGTGGCACCGGAATCATTTTAAATAGGCGTTAAAGTGGTCAAGCATTTTAAAGTGGTCGAGCATTTGGTTGTGTTTTTGCGTCAATCGATTTGTGCCGACTAAAAGTGCATTGCACCGCACGTCTTTGATTTCAGTCAATCTGCTTTTTTTTATAATTAGCCCGATCTACGTAATTGAATCTGACAGAATGCATATGAAAACGACGACGACGACGACGACGAGGAAAGAAACGATTTTGCATTCTTTGCGGTTGGAATTGCGCGCGAAACGAAACAACCGCTTAACCGCAGCACATAATCATGTGAGTTATAATAATACTATCGGCGCGTAGATTTTTTGTTTTCATCTCTATCTCCAATTAGCCGTGAGCATGAGCGGTACGCTTCAGTGTCGGTTAGAGCTTGCTCACAATTTGTTTGCTAGTTGGCTGGCTTTTTTTTTTCTTCTCTTCTTTCCGCCATTTCTCTTTGTTACAAAGAAAAAAAAAATGAGGAAAAAAAGCAACAACAGCACTGTAATGAAATCCACTAAGCCGAATGATGAAACTGAAACAATTGGAAAAATCCATTTGATTGCATTTCGGTGGCTTTTAACCAGATTGCATTTCTACTTGAATGCACAAACACAATCTTGACAGAGTGTGGCAGCATTAATGCATTACACTTCTTTCCTATCTTTCTGCTCGAAATGATTCCGACACCATGATCAATGCTCTCTCTATCTCTCTCCTCTCGTCTACACATAATATCATTGCAAACTGATTTCAGGTATGTTTCTGGTTTTAATTTGTACCATTTCGTGTGGCATCCCATTTTCTCTGAATTACGAGCAGCAAATGACTTTTGTGTGTGCGTGTGCTTGGGCTTGGGCTTGGGCTTGTGTTTGTGTGAGCGCGCGCGCGAGCGCACATGAGATCGAGTCGGTAATAAAAGTCATTCAAAAAAAGAAACGAAAATTAACTTGTGAAAAAGTGAAACTAAAGAAGAAAAAAAAGGCAGGAAAAAAATGTTACAATTCCTTCTTCTCTTTTTTGGTATCTAACTGTCGAAATCAGACTTTATTATCATTTGAACGCATGGATATGCCACACAAACAAAAACACTTTCATTTTGATGGTAATTTTCGTTCTCTCTTCTTCAGTTTCGTTGTTGTTGTTATTTAGTAAATAGCGAAATCACAATGACAATATAAATTGCCTTGGTGAACTTTGTTGTCACACGCTCGTCTCCGAGTTCAATCGCAGCACAAACTTATTGCTTTTTGGATCGACCACTTCTTCGCTTAAATTGAAATGTGGCAATTTATAGACAGTGACCAGTAGCGATATGTCATTCTGGACTAATTGAAATACACTGTTATTTGAGATGGGACGCGACAATAGTTCATCGCACACCAGAGACCACGATTGTACGCTACGGCGTTCCTTTTCGTTTTGCAGTAATGGTGATTCGACGAGATATGGTTCCAAAAATGCACGCGGTGACATATCATGCTTGAGACAATGGGCCAAATGACGTAGAATCGCTTCGACCGTGTGCCGTGGCTGTTGGCGTGTAACACGAAGATACTTTTGCAATGCCCGTGCCATGGATGGGAATACGGCCTGTGCGGCTTCGTGTGAATCAAGTGGAATGGCCGGTGCCGGTTCATTTTGTACACGCCGAATATGTGTGAACGCCTCTTCGGCGGCGGTAATAAGACGTGCTCGTCGCTTTTTCACACGTCGTTCGTATTCATGCTCTTCGTAGAATCGTTCATTGTGCGATGAATCACGACGACGTGCATGAGCTGCCAAAACGGCACGACTTTGGCTTTGTTGCTGCGATACATTCACACCATCGACTTCATAGTACTTGAAACTGCTCACCGTCGTTTTCTTTTGCGACTTTGAAATGGGCAATCGATCCAAGTATGGATTGTAAATGGGAAATTCGGTATAATAATGTTGTAGCACAAAAACGGCCGCACGTTGTATGCTCAATTGACCAATGGCATAGGCTCGACTCTCACCATCCGGGCTACGCACCACCTTAATGTAATACGTGGGCTGTAAATGTCTCAATTCCATTAGAACAACACCAACATAGTGGATAAATAGCAGTGTGTCAGCAAAATTGGTTGCATACGAAACCAGTGATTTATAGTCGGAGGCCTCGGAGCCCTCAACAATAGCTTTGGTACCTTCAGTGACTTGAACAATATAAAAGAGCCAGTAGGCAAATGTAGAGATGAGCACCAGCAGCATTACCGTGGCACGGAACAAAAATATTCGCGGCATTGTTGCGGCTGGTGTTCGTAAAAATACGGCCCAAACGCCAAGCGCCAGCAAAATCATGCGAGCTGCCAGCGATACAAGTAAACCTTTACATTCGGCATTACAAGCTAGTAAATGTGTACGGGCGATTTGTGTAATTTCAGGATTTTCAAAGGCGGCCGTGAAAAATCCTAATTTTGGCATCATAACCATTGCCAATGGACTGACAAATGCGGCCATGTACAACATTAGCGAAAATGTCGTTTCGATGTAACGCTGACACACCATACCCAGGCCATTTGATTTCGTTTGTGATTGCCAATTGCTGACATCTTCCATCGAAAGACTCTGATCGGATGTGTTACCAGTGATGGCCGTTGTATTTTCGCCCCAATTTTCATCTTGCGGTAAAATTTGTACCTCAATTATTTCCTGGCCTTCGCGACCATTTTCGTCCAAATTCACTGTCGTTTGGAATGGCGCCATATCGGGTTTTCGATTCTTATGCGATGATCCACTGCGATGTGAATGTCGACTCCGATCACCGGACCGATGATGCAACGGTACACCAGTACTATTGTTTAGTGTGGAATTATGAACGCCGCGACTACGTCTTGATCTCGAACCTGGTTCCGATTTAGTTGATTCCGACTCCATAATATTGTCTACGAGAGTAGAAAACAAAACCATTATGTTCAATCATTCTTTTTCGGAGGTTGAAGAGGCAGAGAAAAAGGGAATCGATTTCATCAACCGAAATTAACTTACGCTCGTTTAGTAACTTGTGGGAACGAATGTGGCTGCTTTGTGAACGTCGTCATTGATCTTTGGTCGATGCCTAATCTCCGTTTTACAACTATGTTGGCTAAGCCAGTTGCAAACCCCCTTTTTTTTCACACACACACAAAATGCACACACTTTACAAAATGATTAACGATCCGGGTTTCTCTGTCTTTTTTTTTTCCTCGTTACGTCGTAGTGTGTATATAGATTTTAATTTAATCAATGCACCAATATATATAAATTGTATCCAACTCACATTCTAAGCACTCGTTCTGTAGCGCCGTCACACGTTTTATTGTTTATTCTGCAGAAATTGGTGAATACATTTCTTCGCTGATACATACATACGCAGGCCGAACACTTAATTTTATGTACGTTCACTGTTCTTGTTTTTATTCACATGTATTCATATGCACTGAGAGAGGGCCACTATAAGAATACGGTGAATTGCACGAAGCGTTGTACTCATCAAAAACGAAGGCACGCATACGTTCATATCATAAAATATTCATTCATCGCACATCGCTCGCTTCGTTTTTTTTTTAATTCGCTGTTATATATTTTTAATGCACACATGCACCGAAAAAAAAAATGAAGAATGATTCACATTGGGTTTCGTTCGTTGCATATATCAAGAAGAGTGAACAGAAAATGCCACACCAAACTGCTACCTCCAATTAGCAAAAAACAACAACGAATGGCTTTTGGAATAGAGTAGATTTCTTGCAAAGAAGCAACATAACCTGCGGACAGGGCGCACGAAGTATGAAATTCACGTAACGAAGTCTCTTTTTTTTGCTTTTCTTCTACAGTTCAATTCCAAGGTTTTAGTGTTTTTCTGTCGCTGGCAGAATGATTACAATGATGAATTAAGTGGGAATTTTTGTGTCTAATTCTGTCTTGGTTGTTCGATACGACCGAATGCGGTGTTTTTCAATTGCACTTCTTTCAAACCGTACACAAACAATGAACACTGTCTATATGCACTGTGCACCACAAGAGTTGCAAAACAATAGAAAGAACTAAATCAAAGTACCGTTTCGACGATCAAGTGTAAGTTTTAATTCAGTTACTACTTCATTCTGCTGCTGTTTTTTTTTTCTTCTCTTTGCTCTTTCTATTTTCTGATGCACACTTTTGTTGATGCCATTTGGCTTGGTATTGATTTCGGTTGTTGCTGGTTTGAACGAACGAGCAAGAGCATTTTTAACACGTAAAAATCATCGTCAAACAATTCACTAAATGCACTGCAAATCCGAGCAAACTATTGTTATTCAAGCACAATGCTACCGAAGCGAATGATGATGTGATGGGTTTAGAACAACTGCCAAAGCCCCATCGAAACGAAATTAAATCACAAAGCGATGAAGAGATGAACGAACGAACGACGAGAGAGCGAGAAAAAAAAACACGCACCATCGAACTTCTTTTGAATGTTGTGTATTCTGGTTGGGTTTTGATTTTGAGCAGCAGAATAAAAAAAATTGCTAATAGTCAAACACGACGACGAAGACGAAAACCGAACGAACACGGCATGTTCAACATGCTCATAAAATTGAATTGAGCGAAAAGAAAGGTGATGAAGAAAAATAAAGTCAGCAACGGGCAAAGAAATACCGAAAAAGAGAGAGAGAGAGAGAGAAATACAACAACAATAAAAAACACGATACACAACGATGTAATCAAGCATCAAGCGGCGACTACGCAAGAACGTATATTCGTTGTGTTGTTGCCGTCTTTGTCATAATTCCAAAGAGACTCATTAAAATCGACGATGCGCTCGCATACATGCACACACACACACACATTCGAATACGCACACATGGGCACGTCAGAATCAGAAGCATAGTGACGACGGGTACATGAATACACACGCATACAAGCGTAAGTGCACCTGATTCCAGCCATGGCGTGCGTTTGCAAAGCGGCGAATAGTCATCGACACAGTGAAATGTATACACACATACACGCGTCCCGTATACATTTAAACACACTCCGAACCCTAACACACTCGTGTATAGAACGGCGGCCCTACGAAAGACTCTTGCAAAACACAAAGCGCAATTTCGAACCATCGAAGCCATATTTTTCGGTTCGTTCCTTCTCTTTTTCCCTATGCCATTCCTATTGGTATTTTTTTCCGTTTCATTAAACAAGATCCTCTCTCTTACTGGGCAAACGAACAAACGGCGGCTCACAACGACGACCGTTGAATCGAACGTTGTTGAATTCATTAGACTTGAGCGAAAACAAAAAAAAAACACACACACGAAAGAAAGGAAGGGAAAAATAAAACCGTATAGCCGTAATGTTGCAACAACAAACAGAATGGCGAAAAAAGGTCGGATTGGAATGTTGACGATGGTGTTGCCGCTGTTTCGATCTTTCGATCCAGAAAGAACCTGAAATACACATCTATAATTCTTTGTCGAGAAAGAGCGTCGCGTTTATTCGCTTCACTCATTGATAATCATCGAATGGCTATAACTGTTTTTCTTCTCCTTGATTTTATTATGAATATATGCTGTTTTGTCTTTCTGTTTGCTCGTTCCATTTGTTCTATCGTCTATTCACAGGCCTATGGAAATATTTCATCTCTGTTAGCATCGCGAACATTGCAATCAATATGAGGAAAAAAAACGAGAGAAAGAGAGAGAGAGAGATAGAGAGAGAGAAGAAAAAGACATATATGTCTACAATCTAGATCTTCCACTGGGTATACAAAAAAAAACGAATATATTTATGATTTGTAAACGTTTAACTCGTTTTCTATTCATTTCGCTTAATGAGACATCGATATAGTCAATAGTCACCGTGGCCGATCTTGATTAGCATGCATTTTAGATTTCGATAGACGATTTTGTGATTAACACTTGCGGAGCTATGGCATAAAGCAGATCATGGCATAAAGCTTTAGTCAAATTGATGTGCGTCTTTTATTTTTGAATTTGCTTCTCATTTTTTCGCGTTGACACGAAACGTTTGTGGATTTTCTTTTCACAGCATACACACGATAGTCCATTGTGTTGGAATGCCGTTGATCGAACACTCTCAAAAATCAGCCATATCTGTTATTAATATACCTTGTAGTAAACGCATTTATAGTGTTTCACTGTAGTAGCAAAGTATCCTATTAAATTCCACTGTAGTATTACTACAAGAAAATTTAATAGGTAACACCGCTACTACAGTGAAACACTATGAACGCGTTTACTACAAGGTATATTAATAACAGATATGGCAGGATTTTCGAGAGTGAACTGAATTTGTGTGTTGCAAATGAATGTGTGAATCTCATTTCGACATGCCATTTGTTGTCGCTACGATTTTTATGTCGTTACAATGTCGTTATAGCCAAAAATCGATTATTGATGGAACTCAAAACGATCCAAAGCCATGAGAACACGGCAAAAGAAGAAGAGACGAGTTGAGAAGCAACTTGGCTGTCTCAACTTGTGACTCTTAAGCATATTTTCTTGAAGCGACATTGCACTTGTTTCCCGAGCCAGTCAACCAATCAACGCTTATACATGCATCGCAAAAGAACATTCACCGTCATCGTCTTCGTCGCCTTCGTCGGTGCTACTCAACAACGGTAAAGATTTGTCAGTGCGATAAGTACACACAACATGAGATTCGGCTTTCATCAACGGTGCCGATTAATATATACCCACTACATTGTTGTTGTTTTTTTCTTCGTTCAACGACGATTCTCTTTCTCTTGTTTTCGTTCATCATTCTTGTTTGCTTGTCTCACGCTTCTTGTTGCCTGCTTCTGGCATTGGGGACTTGAGTCGGGAGAAGAAGAATGGCACAGTCATAATCATCAATAGACACCAATATACATTTTGTTTTATTTCAACCGAAAACTATAAATGATGGTTAAACGTTATACTAATTAGTATGAGTGTGGCGCGGACATGAGTTCAGTTTCATGGTGGTGAAATTTTCGATGTTCAACTATCTAGTGAACACATCAAAGAACATCGTCGAAAGACACAGAGAAATAGAGAGAGAGAGAGAGAAAAAAAAATTGGTTTAACAATAAATCAATTTATGATAAACTTGTTATCTCATTTTTTTCCCTTCAATTTTCTAACGGCCACCAAAATAGTTCCAAAAACAATTTAATAATTATTATTCACTATGTGAGACTTCCTCAATAAAGAAGAAAATATATCGGAACCGGTTGGAAAAAATGAAGAGAGAGAGAGAGAGAGAGAGAGAGAGAGAGAGAGAAAGAAAAAACTGACACGGCCAACTGTTCAAAAAGCAAAAGTAAATAACAAGAACAAACTATTTCTCACCGACCATATACAAGCATAGCAATTACGCATTTTGATTGTTTAATGATTTCATTTCTCTCTGGCATTTATTAGAAAAGAATTGCTCTTGCTATAGCGCGAATGTCATGAACCTGAGAATTCTCAGGCTATTATATAAATTCAATTGAATGGCGTTTTTTCTCTCTCTCCTTTCTATGCGTCGCTCTTTTTTTTTTATCAAAACGTTTCTTTGATTTGATTGTGCGAACGCTGTTGAACATTTTAAAGGATCACACACATTGAATGTTGCACACATGACGCATCACATTCCATTTTTTCTATGTGTCTATTTTTCTTTCCCTTAAACGGTGTAACATTTCGTTCCGCATGTCGTTTTGAGAAGAAAAAGAAGAAGAAAAAAAAATGGACAACAGCAATAATAAATCTTTAATCGACATTGTAATCGTTCGTCTCGATCATGCGATGAATGGATCAGAAGACATGGTGACCGGTGAATGACGTAATATGTGCAGTGGCGTTGAGTTGTTAAAACTCACTTCATTGTAATGCGATAGATAGAGTTTCAGTTTGATTTCCGGCACCACCAATTCAATTTCTCGACCTTTTTTCGTTTCACTTCATTTCATTTTATCTACATTCGATTATGAAGGTGTGGTAATGGTATTCTGTCCGTAATTCGTGAGACTAGTCAAGCAAATCACCCTAATCTTAATCAATTGCTTCAAGCATTCTCTCATTCACTGTAGGATGACTTCAATTTAAATTCGTAATTGCTCAATAGAATTTGGCTTCGTTGTTCATTTCGAAACCGACTTTGATTTCAACTATCTACTCGATTCGATGCATTCGTGTGTACTTGTCGTCGCGACATCATCATCATTCAAAGCCGAATGACTCACTTGATCGCATTTCATGCATTTCACATATACGAGATAGAGATGAAAATTCTTGACGCAGCCAATTTTCTCTTCGTTTCATGCGATCCCGTCAATTTCAAATGATACATCAAGCAAAGACACCGATCATTGCATCGTTATTATAAGAATCGTTATAATTTGCCTTTTGAAGAATTTTAATTGCATTTCTTTTGAAAATGTTGCGCGCGCACGCGCACTACAGAAGAAACAATTATAAACATTTCCAAATCACACAGATTGACGTTGATTGTGATTTGTTTTTTTCTACAAGAGAATGATTTCAAAACGGGGAAAAACGGTTTCTGTTTTTCAGAAGAATGACTGGATTTTCGTGCCATACACAGACAGCACATCAGACACAAAAGAAAAGCTACTCTTTTATTTCACTAAGAAAGTAACTTTAGTTTTGTATGAAAGTCGTCTCGATTAATGGGATCTCGACGATTTAATCTCAAAATCTAGAATAAAATGGGAAAAATGAAACAAACAAAAAATCATCGATGGTAAACCGGTTACCGCGTCTCATTACTCTAGTTTTTATTTGTGAAAGAAAACCGACGAATAAAAAAAAATTGAAAAATTTGCGCTCTTGACACTTGCACCGTATCATTTTGACAGTCTAATATTTTGCTCGTCTCTAATGTGACAATTTGACACAAATACAGTTGCGCCTCTTGCAATAAACACAAAAAACCGGTTGACAGACCGTCCTACCGACCGACGAAAGTGATTCGCAAAATCGTTGCCGATTTGAAGGTATATTTTAAAGCTTAAGCACGCAATTTCTTCATTGCTTCATGTTTTTTTTTCGTGAATTTTTCGGGTAGTGAAAGTTTTTCGCTCCGTTCCGTTCGTTCGTTTCCAATGCTTTTCACACACACACACGCACACACACGGCCATATACCGACGAAATGTTCAATGAAAGCGTTGAACATTCGATGCCTGGTGTTGCGGTCAAAAACGTGTGTTCACGTCTCAGTCCAATACAGGCAATACAATAACACAATGAAAAACGTCACGTCTCCCCAATACATTCATAGCACCGAAGAAGAAGAAGAAGCAGCAGCAGTGTGTGTGCGTTTGTATTGTGGCTTATTGGTTAGGTATTCAATGAGCGCCACGATCGCCGAAACTTTATTACACTGTGTTATATATTTTACCAATTTTTTTTTTTCTGTTTCGTTGAATGAGTGTGTCGACTTTTCTTTTATGTGTACAACTTTCTCATATACATGCCGAAATATTAGTGTGTTTATTAGCATAGTTCAATGTTATGAAATACATTTCTTTCTTTTTTTCATTTTGCCAACACCGATAATTGCATTCATTTGACGGGAAATTTCATGTGGGATATACTGCTTTGCATTGTGTGGTCAAAATTTCAGTTTAGTTTTTGTTTGCTCCGAAAGTGAATGAGTGAATGAAAGATAGAGATTTATAATTCGTTTCGAGCTGTTAAACCGTAGTTAATTGTAAATGATCAGCGAGCTAAGAGATTTAGCATTTTTTGGCTTGAGGTAGGTGGAGATCTCGAATTATGAATTAATTTTGTTTGTTTGTTGAGTTTTTCTGGCGAATGAATTATTGGTTTTGTTCAAAAGAATGATGAATGAAAATGATTGTTCATCAGGCTGACGTCGTTAATTTTCTATTGTGACGCGTCATTTCGATTGAATCCAAGAGAGAAACGTTTCTTTTCCGAAACTTAGTTTCGTTCCAATGTCGAGCACATTCATTAACAACGTTATCATTTTTCCCGTAATACGGTCGCTGCTGCTGCGACTGCGGCTGTTTATTTATTTATTTTCGGAAACTTTCATTAAAATCGCGTTGAAGTGATACAGTGGCAGTGAAAAATTTATCTAGATTGGCATGTCTCTTCATTAACTGATTTCGTACTGTGCTAATAAACATTGCGAACAAACAATGTTGTGGGCTGTTGCTGTTGCTGCTGGCAGAAGAAATAGTTTGGATGAATTTATGGAATCACTCTTTGAATCGATTGTGAAGGGGAAAGTCATTCCGAAAATTTAACGTATGCCATTGCATATCGAACTTTGTGAACACAATCGCTTGTTTGCAAAAATTATTCACGGATTTCATTCGGGCATCAATTCCAACGAGTCAAGCATGCGTTATTCTATTGAAATTAATTCCATGTGCGTCGTTGCTGAGTGATGAACTCAACATATTTTTGTTTTGTTGAACATTTCCAACAAATATAAATTCCAAAAGGGAAGCTTGAGGAATTAATAGCCCATTAGTAATTGTGCATGAATATGATGAGGCTTCGATTGAATGTATTAATGAGAGTGAGCAAGAGAGATAAAGAAACAATATCTATCGACCGACGAAACAATAAACGAAATGGTTTACACTGATTGGCCAAAAATGGATTATGCTCAGTGAAATTTCACCACGTTGTTGCCTTGGTTGTTAAATAACAGTGAGAAAGTGAATTGAAGCATAAATTTTGAGACAGAGATAAACCAAACCAAACCACACGACGCCAAACCAAATTACTCATAAGCTGAATGTTCAACGCAATCGATTCGACTGCACCTTAATTTGTGCAGGTAAAAAGAATGTGATGCGATCGTACAGTGCAAACAATTAGTATTCATTTCACAGTTTTGTAACGAGAACACTTTTATTTATTCAACACATTCAGTCGATGGTTGATGATTCCGAGAAGTAATACCTCGAGCATTCGATCGTAAATCATTCGGCAGCGACCAAGAGACATTAAAAATAAGAAAAATTCAAAAAGCGGCTAGAATATCACAAAAAATTCAAAAAAAAAATTGTGTCAAAACAGCAACCAAAATATTAAATTCCATTTAAATAAAATTCGGTTAAATTCTCTTTAATTCAATTTCATTTTTCTCTTTCCATGCAGATAACATCTATGACGTTGCATTGACAGTAGGAAGGGACTAGTTATACACAGATTGAACGAGAATGAACCGAGCGTGGCCATTGCGACGTGTTCTCAAGTATTCGGCCATTGGCGGCAGTGTTGTGCTCACCGGATTGAGTCTTCGTACCAACGACTATGATGTCAATTCAGTGGGTATTATTCGATTGTCACGTGCAGCACTTACTGTTTACGATATCGCCTGTTTGTACCGGAATAATTTGTATAAAAAAGAATGGGACAAAAAATCGGCCGAATACAAAGCGGAAAAGAGTCGATCGCATACATTGGCCGCTGAAAAATTGCTCAAATTGATTTGCATCAATAAAGGTGTTTACATCAAGGTTGGCCAACACATTGGTTCATTAGACTACCTGTTACCTGCTGAATTTGTGAGCACCATGAAAGTGCTGCACAGTAATGCACCAAAGAATCCCATTGAGGATCTCTACAAAGTCATTCGACAAGATCTTAAAGTGAATGTAAGTGTGGCATTTTTCATAATTTGCCAGATTTTTGAAGCAGTTTTCTTAATTGAAATTGTTTATTTCTGTAGCCCGAAGAATTGTTTGAGTCATTTGATGCGGAGCCACTTGGAACGGCATCGTTGGCTCAAGTGCATCGTGCCACACTGAAAAATGGCCAAGAAGTCGCCGTCAAAGTGCAACATCCGTATGTGTTGGGCAACAGCAATGTCGATATGAAAACAATGGAATATTTGTGCAAAATTATGTCAATCGTCTTCCCCGACTTCAAAATGCAATGGCTGGTTGATGAATCCAAGAAGAATTTACCAATTGAACTGGACTTTTTGAATGAAGGGCGCAACGCTGAAAAGGTAATGTTTTCGTGAATGAGATATCGTAAAATTCAATTCAATGAAATTTTCTATGATTTTTTTATATCATTCTTCTGGTTCGAAATGAAATTACTCATCAAATTGTCTCTATTTCACAGGTTGCCGATATGTTTAAAGACTATAAATGGCTCAAAGTGCCGAAAATATTTTGGGATATTTCAACGAAACGTGTTTTAGTGATGGAATATGTAACTGGTGGCCAGGTTAATGACTTGGAATACATTCACAAGAATAAAATCGACACATTCGATGTAGCCAATAAGATCGGTCAATTGTACTCAAATATGATTTTCATCAACGGGTTCGTGCATTCAGATCCACATCCGGGCAATATTTTGGTGCGAAAGACCAAAAAAGGTGACAACGAAATCATCCTACTAGATCATGGGCTTTATGCAGTAAGTTATCGAGAAAAAACGACGAGCAATGTCATTATTTGTTCATTATTTCGACAATATTCAATTGACCATTGTCTTATTTCTCTTTCAGAACTTAACCGATGAATTCCGCTATCAATACTCAAAACTATGGTTAAGCATATTGAATGTGGATCGCAAGGGGATGCGTTTCCATACGGGTAAATTGGGTATCAAAGGTGATTTGTATCCATTGTTTGCATGTATGTTAACCGGGCGACCGTGGGAGAGTGTAATCGCTGGCATTGATCGTATCAAACCGAATGCGGCCGAAAAGGAATTGGTTCAATCGAATAGTACACTGGTGTTACCATCAATATCCGATATTCTGGAGCAGGTTGATCGTCAAATGTTACTCATTCTCAAGACGAACGATTTGATTCGTGGCATCGAAACAACGCTTCAAACACAATACCGGATGACATCATTTTGGGTCATGTCCAAATGCTGCATCGAATCGGTGGCCCGACAAGAGATTCACCATTCCAAAACCTATTGGCAACGATTTGCGAAAAATTTCCACAAAAACTGGACCATATTTAAGCTAAATATTTATTATTTATACTTGGGTATTATCAATTTTAATTTATTCTCAACGCTTCGCCAGCTGGTTTAGTCAAATTTGTCCCTTTTTTTTCATTCATTTCGAACACTTGTTGATCAATTTGTCACATAAATTCGTTATCCTTTTTTTTTAAACCGATTTTCTAGTGTCTTTTCGATTACCATTTCTATAACATTTGTTGTTTTGATGAGGTTAGTTGGAAAGAAGAGTATTTTGTATGGAGAATGTGTTTTCTGAGTCAAAATTTCTGACAGAACGCTGAATAAAGGAAAATGGAAATTTACAAAAGAATATTGAGGCTTTTGACTCTTTTATTTCCAGAAAAATGCATTATTACCAAAAAAAATTCATCGCTACCAACAGATATTCATAGACCAATTTTCTTTTTTTTTTCCATTTATAAGCCAAATGTTCCATTTTTCACTTTACTTCACCTTACCTGTGTAAACAACTTCTAAAGCATTCAGCTGAAATAATGACAAGGAATGAAAATGCCGACATGTGTTTTGGTTTTTATCGATTCAACTATTTGCATCAGTCATTTCATTGGTCCTATTGACATGTGTAACTATTTGGTTTATGGTTTTTTTTTCGATTTATTATCTCTTAATGGGTCGTTTAAAAAACCGTTTGAACACAGATATTTGTTGTTTTCTTCATTTTTTTTAGATAGATTAATATAGGTCCCTAAATTGTGTGGTGATGAAAGAATCAATGCACTTTTTTGTAACAATATGTGATTTAGAAATACGATTGGAGCTTCAGACACAACTGGAATTCGTATTGCATCAATCACACATTGAAATGGTGAATACAATTCTTTCTGAATGAATATGAAAATGTTCGACCGTTGAAAACGAAACCCTCGGTAATCATGCATAAAATATGTTCAAGTCTTTTCTCAAGTTCTTGTGCATTTAAAACAGACGTTCGCATTTGCATTGCTTAGGAAGCAGCATGTTTTAAGGCACAGCATTAATGCTAGCATATCGATGGTTGCAACAGCGACGCATACACGGATCTCGCGCTCACAAAAGCCGCACACACATCTCTCGTGCTCTATACGAGTTGTTGTATGCGTGTGTATGTTTGTTGATGCGACGGCTACTGAGCA